AGCCAAAGAATTTTAACAACGTAATTTCATGTCTAGAATCTACTATGATAAACTTAAAATTTCGACGCACTAAATTATATTCCATCGTGGTACACACCATTTCCATATGCACCACTTATAACACAAGTTGAAAGTTGAAAAAGATGTTGAACAGAATATAAAGACGCGATGTTTATATACAAATGTGTCCGCAGTATCTCAATAGAGGAACCCGTGGATTGTCATGAACAACTCACCAGGTTCGAAACCTGACCGGACCGGTTTTTCTCTAAAATCTTTTGTTCATTATTGCTTAAAACTCAGCAAAATTGCTAAGGGAACCATCGCAAGTCATCAGAACAACTTTTTGCTATAAGAATTTCATAAGAATTCAACAAGAAACTAATAAGAACTCTTATCACTTTCTTATGAAATTCTTATAAGATTCTTACTCGGTTCTTATCTGATTCTTAAGAAATTCGTGCAACTTTCGTGCCACTTCTTATATAAGAATCTGATAAGAATCGGATAAGATTCTTAGCAAAAGCAGACAAGAAGCTGGGAAGATTCTTACCAGATTCCCGTCCAATTCTTATATAAGAATTGACGACTAGGGCAGTCCGCTGTAATCAATCTGATCTTTTTGGAAAACTGTGTTGAACCCAACAAACAATTCGAAATCTTTTAATTTTATCATAAGAGTTTTAGGCTATTTTCTTTCTGTGCACGTAGTACTAAAACTTAACGCAGCTGAAGCTAATGTAGAATATTCAGCTTTATCTGCACCAAAAGTATGCGGTAGAAGTGGAATACGCAATACATCAGTACAAACCCCTTGAGCTTTTATAACTGAACGGGATAAACAAACTTTAGTAGCACTTTGGTTCCTGTTTCTTGGATGCGAGTTATTCTAGCAGAGTTGTAAACAGATCAACAACTAGGTAAGTGCTCGGCCAATGGACTGTAACCGATGCGACATTTTTGGAAAACTCCATAAAACGCAGGAAACAATTCTGAATTGTTTTTGACTATATCAAAACATAGCCCTAACTTTCTAGGCTATATTTTACATGCTTCCGAGGCAACCAATTTGTCTTACTTGAAATAGGTGCTCTGGTAGACTGTGGCCCCTGTGTAACTGGTTCAGCTTGTTTCGCTTGAAAGAAAGACAGGATATAAAAGTGTTTCAGCTAAAAAGATACACATTCGTCTTACTTGATATTGGTGCTGTGGTAGACTGTGGCGCTTGTGTGCTTTGACCCGCTTGAATGCATGGAGCTAGTGATATATCATCAATAACAAAATCATTTCC